ATGGTCCGAAGATCGTAACAGTGTGAGGACGACCTCAGAAATGGAAAATCCGATGGTTCCGTTAGCTCCGTTAGGTGATTTCGGGATTGGGAGCGCGTTCGGAATGTATTTTGGACGTCCGTAGCTCATTTAAGCTTGAAATGCCGAAGTTTGTATTTTTGAAGCTTCCAGCCGATAGTGAGTTTTTGATCCGAGGGGTCGGAATGGGATTACGGAAGTGCAGTAGTTCCGTCATGTCATTTGGGATGTGTTGTGCAAAATTTCAGGTCATTCGGACGATGTTCGGGTAGGGTTTTTGATCGAAAGCGTGTTTTGTTTGGAAATTGAAGTTCTTAGGCTTAAATCTTTGATTAATTCGGGTTTCCGGCGTTGTTTAGGTGGTTAAGGATTGTACAGTTTGAATGAGGTATTAGGTGTGGTTGGTGCTTTTGTTGAGGTCCCGGGGGCCTCGGGATGATTTCAAGGTGGTTGACGGAAGAATTTTTGAAGTGTGCAGCAGCTGGTTTTTCTCTCTTCGTGGTATTTTCGCTTCTGCGGCTTGGGAACCGCAGAAGCGGAGCCGCATAAGTGGCCATCCCATCGCAGGAGTGGAATTTGGGCTCCCTTCAGTTTCTGCAGGTGCGGAAGTTTGACCGCAGAAGCGGTTACGCACCTGCGAGGTATAAGATCGCATATGCGGCCCGGGTCATTGGTGATAAACCGCAGAAGCGGTAAGTATTTCACAAAGCGGCCACCGCAGGTGCGGTTTAAGACCGCAGAAGCGGAACCCCTGGATTTTAGTCAATAGCCGCAGAAGCGGCATTTGTTCTGCATAAGCGGGACCGCAGATGCGGTCCCTTGTCCGCAGAAGCGGAATCCCTGGGCAGAAATAGAAATATTTCGAGGGTTGAGTTCATAAGTACAAAAATCAATTGAGAGCTCAGGTAAAGGGCGATTTGAGTGGGTTTTGAAGAAGAACATATGGGTAATATTTCCTTAATCCCTTCTAGTTATATTTCATCATTATATAGTTTAAATGTATCATTGGAATTCGAATTTTGGATCAAAATTGGTTAATTTGGGGTAAAACTTTATTGCGAATTGGAGTGCGATTCATGGTTTTAGCGTTGTTTGATGTGATTTGAGGCTTCGAGCAAGTCCGTGTTATGTTTTTAGACTTGTGCGAGTGTTTGGTTTGGAGCCCCAGGGGCTCGGGTGAGTTTCGGAGTAGCTTCGGAGTGTTTTGTGAAGGAGTTGGAATTTCTGGTTCTGGTATGATCGCATTTGCGAGGAATTGGTCGCAAATGTGATCATCGCATTTGCGAAGGTAGGCTCGCATTTGCGAACCTAGGGCTGCTGAGGGGAGATCGCATTTGCGAGGGGGTCATCGCTTTTGCGATGCTGTCCTCTTCGCATTTGCGATGATTTTTGTCGCAAATGCGACCATGGCAGGGGAAAGTTGGGCTTCGCATTTGCGATGCCTTTGTCGCAAATGCGACCATCGCAATTGCGAGCCAGAGGTCGCAGATGTGACTTCTGCATCTGGTGCAATGGCTTTTTATTCCGAGACTTAGCCCATTTCTCTCATTTCCCACTTGGTCTTAGGCGATTTTTGAGACCATTTGAGAAGGGGTTCCACCATCATCAAGAGGTAAGTGATTTCTTCTAGTTACGGGTTAAATACAAGGATTTTATATGGGTTTAAACGTGTAGAATCATAGAAATTTAGGGATTTTGAATAAAAACCTAGAAATTGAGATTTTTGGATTTTGACCACGATTTTGGGTATGGAATTGAGAATAAATTATATATTTGAGTTCGTGAGGTAATGGGTAAACTTTAACTTCGAAAAATTTCGGAATCCAGGCACGTGGGCCCGAGGGCAATTTTGTCAACTTTTCGTTCGGGGTTAGGACTTGTTATAGATTGGACTATAATGTGTAATTGAACATATATTAATGGATTTACATGATTATTGGCTAGTTTTGGAGCATTTCGCATCGATTTGTATCTTCGGAAGGGCATGGAATGCCGGTTATGGAACTTCGGAGCGAGGTGGGTCTCCTTTCTAACCTTGTATGAGGGAATTAACCCCATATGTGAACTAAATTATTGTGTGCTCCTATTTGTGGGGGCTACATACGCACGAGGTGACGAGAGTCCGTGCGTAGCTACTATTATGCCTATGTCCGGGTAGTTTAGGCTTACATCATGCTTTGTTGATATTTGTTGTTAAATTTATGTTATTGTTGTCTTGTGAAGAAACAAGATTAGGGGTGCGTAATAATTGTGTTGAAAGGAATGTGAATTGAGGAATTTACTATTTTTAAGGGTTTTCATGAAACTTCGTATTTTCGAAAGAATGGAGAAATATTATAATAACTTAAGAAACCTATGTGTAACCGCATCGCATGTGCATTTCGCGAGCGGGGAAAATCTCTTTAAAAGCTTCACGTTGAATTTTCCTTATTTTGAAAAGAATCAGGAAAAAGATTTTGAATTATTAATAAATTATATTTGACCGCATCGCAAGTATGATTCGCGAGCGGGGTATTTTCGTCTACTACTCTTATGGGATCGGGCCGATCGCCTCGACAGGATTTATGTACCACACTCTTATGGGATCGGGCCGATCGCCTCGGCAGGACTTATGTACCACACTCTCATGGGAGCGGGTCGTTCGCCTCGGCAGGTTAATAGATGCATCTATGGTTCGCGCCGTTCGACCCTCGGCAGTGTACAATTACTTTAATGTTGGATCGGGCCGTACGCCTCGACATTTCCTGTACATGTATATGTATTTACTATTCTCATGGAATCGTGCGTGACATTTGGCCAGAAGCCAGTGAACCTGGGGGATTTTTCCCTGCTTTGAATTATGATAACTTATTTAAGGAAATCCACCATATCTATATATGTGCTCCAGTTACGGAGGGAACTTGCTAGCTGAAAACTTGAGTAAAATAAAGAAGAAAGGGTATATTACTATGTGTTTTATACATGCTTATTTCATATAATTGCCATATTTCGTACTTATTCACTTCTTTATTGTAATGATATTATTGGACCATTAGTAAGTGTCGAAGTCGACCTCTCGTCACTACTTCTTCAAGGTTAGGCGGGATACTTACTGAGTACACGTTGTTTTTGTACTCATGCTACACTTGCTGTGCATTTTTGTTGCACAGACACATGTACCTCTAGTGGCCTGATGGACGTAGAAGCATGGATGATTCAGAGACTTAGGTGAGCTGCACCTCTCGAGACGACCCGCAGCCAGCAGAGTCTATTCCAGTGTATCGTATTTACTTTCTGTCCAAGTTTGTATTCCGGACAGCTATTGTACTTTATTAGATTTCCTAGTAATTGTTCATGCACATGTGACACCGGGTTCTGGGATGACTAAGGGATTATTCAGTATTTAGGTTTGTTAAAGACATCATTATTTATTCAGTGGAATTTCTTTATTAATTGTTTAATGTTTAAAAAGGAATGATTTCAAAATAGTAAAATGAGAAATTTCTAGTTATTTGGTGTTGGCTTGCCTGACAGTGGTGTCCGGCGCCATCACGATCCTTAGTGGAATCTGGGTCGTGACATGTTTATTGACCTCAATATGTACAGATTACTAAATAACTTATATGTACCCGATTTTTACACCAACTTAATTAATGTATAATATATGTCTTTATATTTCCGATTAAGAAAATTATAGTAAATTAATAATAAACATTTTTGTCTTAGTTTGTCACCTACAGCTTGTTTGGATGGTTGTTACCCATTGTATTGTATCGTATTGTTACTTTAAATACGATGTTTGTTTTGATTGTTACTTAAATTTTATTGTATCGTATTGCTAAATCCAATGGCGAAATGTGCCACTTTATGTAACGACCGATTTGGTATGGTCGCATCGTTTTCTCTCAATCTCACCATTAATTATTATTAAATAATTTTATTTTATCATTTAGCCTACCTTTTTATATAGTAATTTTACCCTGTATCATAATTTTTATTTATAATATTACAAGTTTGTTCTTGATATTGTTGATGCGTGATATCTGACAAACGACACAATCCATCCAAACATTGTAGGGAGAAATTAAAAAATAGCCAGATTTACAAGTGGTCGTTCAAAAATAGCTCAGTTTCAAAAGTAATCGAAATCTAGCCACTTCCATGTAAAGATAAATCTGGATAAAAACACTGTTCAAAACCCGGAAAATACGTCAGTATATTATGCTGGAGTTCCATCATAAGTATACTTGAACTCCAGCATATTATATTGGAGTTCCAGGATAAGTATGTTGGAACTCCAGCATAATATGATGGAGTTCCAGCATAAGTACACTAGAACTCCAGCATAATATACTGGAGTTCCAGTAAAGTATACAAGTCCAGTATAATATGCTGGAAGTTGATACACAAGTACTCGAATCTCCAGTATATTATGCTGGAACTTTCCGTGTGTTGGAGTTCCAGCATAATATGCTGGAAGTTCATACACAGGTGCACCGAACTCTAGTATATTATGCTGGACCGGTCTCTGTTGCAGCAAAATAGTGGCTATTTTTCATTGACTTGGTAAACGCTGGCTATTTTTGAATGACCAATCCGAAAACTGGCTAGACCGTGCTATTTTTACAACATTGTATTTATCAAACGATATAGTACAATACAATATAATACGATACGATACATTATGAAATGATGCGTAACAATCATCCAAACAAGGTGTTAATCTGATTTGATGTAAATATGGAACTAGGTAAATTTTACTGTTAAAATGGTTACAGTTTGTTTTTAGTATCATTTTCTCTTCTTCTTCAACATACAAAAATTTATCTCACTTATCATATGTTTGATTCTTCAGCAGAATGAAAAGGTAAGTTACGTATTGGATAATAGAATTATCATTCATCAACTATTTCGTGGTCCCCGAATCACTACTAGATTCTGCTTATCAGGCGTTACGATTCTTCTCGTTGTTTCACATTAACGCCGTCAAAGTTAACGGTGTCCGTCACCGTTTATTTCCCTCAATCTCAAAACTCTCTCTCTCCCCTTTCCCCTTCTCTCTTCTTTCTCTCTCTAGCCGTCGATTTTTCGCTGAGCATTCTTTGTAAAGATCTTTTTACAGTTAACTCTTATTGGATTCTAAGTTAATCTCCCTAAAGGTAATCCTAATAATCCTTTGATTTATTTTCCGTAGTTTTTTACCCAATTTTATATGGTTTTATTCAATTCAAGAACCCTTCATTGTACAGTTTTTGTTTGTAAAAATCTCACCTTTATAGCATAAAACATCCTTTGTACTGATGTTTGGTAATACCCATGTTTGCTTATATTGATTTTGTGGTAAAATTTTGAACTTTTTCCTACATAGTAGTGTGTAAAGGTGAAGGGGAGCCTTGGCGTAATTGGTAAAGTTGCTGCCATGTGACCAAGAGGTCATGGGTTCGTGCCGAGAAAACAGTCTCTTGCAGAAATGCAGGGTAAGGCTGCATACAATAGACCCTTGTGGTCCGGCCCTTCCCCAAACTTGCGCATAGCGGGAGCTTAGTGCACTGGCTGCCTTTTGTTTCTGTATAGAGGTGTTTTTGTGTATATGGGGTTTGTAGTTATGAGGTGCTTTTGTTGATTTTCAGTAGGTGCTGATGTTACATAGTGAAATTGGGTATTAACAGTGAGGAATTAGTAGTGCAAATAAGGGTAAACAGATGGGGGAAGACTTGATTACAAGCTTGTCAATAGAGAATTATCACCCATCTACATTTTTGTCTATGGATTCAATTGCTACATCACATGAGGAATCAGATAGAGATATGAATAGGCAAATTGTGCTATCGAGGCCACCAGATATTAATCTCCCTTTATCCGTGGAGCGTAGCCCTCCGCCTCAATCTTGGAACCACGACATGTTTGATATGCTAGATGTTGGACTTGGACACCAAATTAATGAATGTGATAAGCTTCTTGATTTGCCTAAAGTTGGAAGGAAATGTGCTAAGAGATTGGATAGTGTTTGGGGTGCTTGGTTCTTTTTCAATTTCTACTTTAAGCCTGTTTTGAAGGAGAAATCTAAGTGTAACGTTGTTCAAGATAGTAATGGGGTGTCGGGATTTGATAAGTCCGATCTCCAACTTGATGTTTTCTTGGTTCAGCATGACATGGAGAATATGTACATGTGGGTTTTTAAGGAGAGGTCTGAAAATGCGTTGGGTAAGATGCAGTTGAGGAGTTATATGAATGGCCATTCTAAGCAGGGTGAGCCTCCGTTTCCTTTTAGCGTTGATAAGGGGTTCATGCGCTCTCATAAAATGCAGCGTAAACATTATAGAGGCCTCTCCAATCCACAGTGTTTGCATGGAATTGAGCTTGTTCCATCGCCTAATTTATCATGTATTGACGAGGAAGAGCAGAAGAAGTGGATAGAACTTACAGGTAGGGATTTGAAATTTTCTATCCCACCCGAAGCCAGAGACTTCAGTTCATGGCGGAACCTTCCCAACACAGATTTTGAGCTTCAAAGACCCATACCATTACCAAAGAGCAATTCTCATCTCCCTACGAAAAAGTTACTAAATGGGACTAGTCTCAACTTGTCAACTCAACCTTCAAACCATGTGAACAACAACGGTTTAGATCTCTCATCTGATTGTGGTAAGAAAAGGAAAGACTTCTTTTCTCATGGAAGTGATGAAGATTGTTCCTTGTCAACTAATCCCGGTTCAAACAGACATCAAGATGGAGAACTACACACTATTGAACCAACTTGGATGAACGAGTTTTCTGGGGTAATGAAAAACGTGTGCGGGCCAGTTGCTGCTGCAAGAACTATATACGAAGACGAGGGAGGATACTTGATTATGATCACCCTACCTTTCGTCGATCGTGAAAAGGTGAAAGTTCATTGGTGGAACAACATCGATCACGGAATTATAAAAATAACATCTGTCAGCACAGCATGCCCCCCATTCATGCTGAGAAATGGTAGAACATTCAAGCTAACCGATCCATCTCCAGAGCACTGTCCTCCCGGAGAGTTCACAAGGGAAATTCCACTTCCAACTCGAATACCTGATGACGCCAAACTAGAAGCCTATTTTGACAACAGCGGGACAGTTCTTGAATTGAAAGTTCCCAAACATGGCACAACTCCAGAAGTGCATGAAGTTCCTGTTTGCCTTCGACCTCCAAATGAGTTTGTGTTGTCGTGAGCTAGGTATTGATTGCAAAAGTGTAAGCTAGACCAGATAGTTAATTTCCATTCTTTTTTAAGTTAAGTTTTTAGGGGGAAGTTCAATCTTTGTTGAATAGGTGGGCTTTTTTGATTTTACTCAACTAATTATGTTGGTTTTACTTCTTTCATTTTGAGAGAGCTCTAGATTATAGCTCATTAGTCTAGAAGGGATGTACTACAGCCAACAGTTAATCGTGCAACGTCAGTCTGGTTTTGATCAGCTAATCAGCCAAAGGGCCTCATAATGATCATACCAACTTATGTGGATCCTTTTGTTGCTGCTGTTTTAAGACTGCTGTCGCACTGCTGCGTCGTCTATAATGTGATGCAGAGCGAAATCTGAATGTAAGTGGACATATATATGTAAGCCATTTTTAATGAATGAGATATTGAATAGTCTATAGAAAAAAGAAATGCCAATAGCCATGGATTTACAGAGCTTCTTTGTTTTCCCACTGTGTATTCTGTTATTTGTTGGCTCTAGGGATATATAGAATGTCCCAACCTAATGTTCTTAGACGATATGATCTTTTGTTCTTTTGCTGTATTATCTCCGTATATTCTATATGTGTTAACGTTTAGATACCGGGCATCTTATTTTATACTCCTGTCGCAACTCTGAGCTACCTATTATGTGATGCATCGCGAAAAAATGAATCAGATAACGAATACCAGCTTATAATTTTCAGAAGTGCCAGTCTCGTTTGTTCTAAATTACAATGAATATAGAGGTTTTTTCTCTACAGTATATTTTCTCTCCTTTGTTGCTTTTACTCAATGCAATAATGTATAATCTGGTGATATGCACATATGTTACCTTTTTTTTGGTTGGATAAGAAAGCTTCCATGTTAAGTAGCTTCCCTGTTAAGAGGCTTCGTCCATTTATTTATACTGTATATAAAATTATACAGAGTCTCTGTTATTGAAACAAAAAGCACCATAAAAGGGAAAGAGAGAAAAGCTAATCTGATTTTAAAGGCTGGGCGTCAGCATATTTACAAATTCAGTGTAGGCCCTAAAGATGGGGAAAAAAGATTACGCGACACTGCAAACATTTACATTGTATTTGACATTCGTAGTTATACGTCAAAAAGTTACTATTCGTAGCTATATTTGAATTTTATAGCAAATCCACCTGTAATATTGTAACAAGAGCTTTCGTGGCCCAATTGGTTAGAGCATCCGCTTGGCATTGGTACTCTAGCAGTCACAAAGAAAAACCTTAAACTCATTGGCAATGGGCAACAAGCAGAAGATGTGTTTGTCAGAAATGAAAAAGCAATTCAATCACTGCACTAAATTTGTAGGAAAACAATTGGAGCTTTCTTTGATTTCTATATGAAATTGCACATCTTAACAACAAAAAGGTGAACAGCGTCCATTTAAAGAAAGCTTAACTAGTAACTCTCACGAAAAACTCAACAAAAAACAGATAAACAGATTCTCAAAAAAACTATTAATCCACTTCTTCAATCTTTGGTCCAGCACCACTTCCACTACCAGCTCCGCCACCAACAGAAGGACCATCTTCATCCATAGTAGCTCCACCAGCGCCGCCTTGATACATCTTAGCAATGATTGGATTGCAGATGCCTTCCAGCTCCTTCATCTTGTCTTCAAGTTCATCCACCTCTGCAAGTTGGTTGCTGTCCAGCCACTTGATAGCTTCATCAATTGCATCCTCAATCTTCTTCTTATCAGCAGCAGGAAGTTGGGAGCTAATCTTGTCATCTTTGATTGTGTTCCTCATGTTGTAAGCGTAGTTCTCCAATGCATTCTTAGCTTCCACCTTTTTCTTGAGCTCTTCATCTTCAGACTTGTACTTCTCAGCTTCTTGCACCATTCTCTCAATCTCTTCCTTGGAGAGTCGACCCTTGTCGTTGGTGATGGTTATCTTGTTCTTCTGTCCAGTAGTTTTGTCCTCAGCAGAAACATTGAGAATGCCATTGGCATCAATGTCAAAGCAGACATTGATTTGAGGAACACCCCTTGGAGCAGGAGGAATGCCACTGAGTTCAAACTTGCCTAACAGGTTATTGTCCTTGGTCCTCGCTCGTTCTCCCTCGTACACCTGGATCAAAACACCGGGTTGGTTGTCCGAGTATGTAGAGAACACTTGCTCTTTCTTTGTGGGAATGGTTGTGTTTCTTGGAATCAACACAGTCATTACACCTCCAGCAGTCTCTAGACCAAGAGACAGAGGAGTTACATCCAACAGCAACAAGTCTTGAACTTTTTCGTTGCCTTCACCGCTCAAGATTGCAGCTTGGACAGCTGCACCATAGGCAACTGCTTCGTCGGGGTTGATGCTTTTACAAAGCTCCTTACCATTGAAGAAATCTTGAAGTAATTGCTGAACTTTGGGGATCCTAGTTGATCCACCGACTAGAACCACATCATGAACACTGCTCTTATCCATCTTGGCATCCCTCAAACACTTCTCCACTGGCTCCATACACTTCCTGAACAAATCCATGTTCAGCTCCTCGAATCTCGCCCTAGTAATAGTCGAGTAAAAATCAATGCCTTCATACAAGGAATCAATCTCAATTGTGGTCTGTGCAGTCGATGACAGTGTCCTCTTTGCCCTCTCACAAGCAGTCCTTAACCTCCTCAACGCTCTCGGGTTTCCACTAATATCCTTCTTATGCTTCCTTTTGAACTCCTGAACGAAATGGTTCACCATTCTGTTATCAAAATCCTCACCTCCCAAATGTGTATCACCAGCAGTAGCTTTAACCTCAAAGATACCCTCTTCTATTGTAAGAAGAGACACATCAAAAGTACCACCACCTAGGTCAAAAATAAGCACATTCTTTTCACCAGCACTGCTAGCCTTCTTGTCAAGTCCATAAGCAATTGCAGCTGCTGTAGGTTCGTTGATTATACGCATCACATTAAGGCCAGAAATGACACCAGCATCCTTAGTTGCTTGTCGCTGCGAGTCATTGAAGTAAGCAGGGACTGTGACAACTGCATTCTTGATTGTAGTTCCAAGGTAAGCCTCAGCGATCTCCTTCATCTTGGTGAGTACCATAGACGAGATTTCCTCAGCTGAAAACTGCTTCTCTTCACCCTTGTAGGTTACAACAATCATTGGCTTGTCACCAGGCCCAGCTATTACCTTAAAAGGCCATAATTTCATATCACTCTGCACAGAAGGATCGCTGAATCTCCTCCCAATCAATCGCTTAGCATCTGAAATCACAGAAAATTTCCAAATTCCCATCAGAATCAAGCTCCTTATGAAGCGGATATCAAAACCCAATAATAGAGAAGTTTGCACCAATCTAGTTAAGTACTAATTTATAAGAAACAACAATAACTGCACTACAATCTCAAAATATTAGAGATGAACTACAGGATTCACTATATAAATTCTATTAATTTAAGGTTTTTTTTTCTTCTCTCCAATAACTCGATAATTTATCTTTTAAGACAAATATGTACATTCCAGTGCTCAATAACTCCAATCCCAAACTACTACTCATATTTAGTCTTTTAGGACATATCAGGAGTGATTAAATGAGTTCAATACATTCATTCCAATTATTCAGAGATCATATAATTCTAATACTCATATTTAGTCTTTTAGGACATATCAGGAGTTCATTCCAAACTCAATAATTTCTCTTTTAGAAAAATTAAGCTCATTTAAACTAGATTTCTCTCGATGTCACATACATTGCCACTCTAACATACATGTCTCTAACTAACCAAAAAACATCATATTTGTTAAAATTATAGTAGTGTTTTCACGTATGTATCCATGTTCAGTGTCTTAAATACTGGATTCGGTTGAACCACAGCTAATAAGATACATTCGCCACTATCCGTAAAGGTCCAACAAACCAATAAATTTTACAAGGCGTTAAGACCGCTCTGTTGGATGCGTCGGATCCCGTATAACAAGCGAGCTCTTTACCCTCAAATTCAAACATGTGGGCGCATATCACAATTAAGCCAAAGCATGGCCGCAAATTAAAAATCAACTACTATTAAACTGCTGACTAATTCAGAAAGAAGCAAAAACAATTCCAACTTTCACAAACGGTACTCCAATCTTATTAATCTCTATCTTCTACCAAAAAAAAAAAACAGAGCAGAAAAATAATGCAGAAAATTCAAAATAATTCATAATAAGTTACACTAAACTCAATAAATTCAAAGTACCAAGGAATGGGTAACTGAGATGGCAGAATATAATGCATGCAACCAAAAAAAAGGAGAGGTTTTTACATACCGAAGACAGTGTTAATGGGGTTCATAGCGACCTGATTCTTAGCAGCATCACCAATCAACCGTTCAGTATCAGTAAAACCAACATAAGACGGCGTCGTCCTGTTCCCTTGATCATTCGCTATGATCTCCACACGATCATGTTGCCATACACCCACACAAGAGTAAGTCGTACCCAAGTCAATTCCAATTGCTGGTCCTTCACCTTTTCCGGCCATCTTTCAACCAATCAGAAAACAAAACTCAGAACAAAAACAGAGCGTTTGAAAAAGAAGAATTAAAGAGAATATCTGATATTTGCAAGGCAGTGAAGCAAATTTCTCTGATTGGAGAGTAGAGTGGAAAAGAGCGAGGTTTATAAAGGAGAAGTTTTATTTCCAGAACGTTCTGATAATTAAATTGCAGCCGTTTGATGAACTTTAGTTCCCACGCGGATTTGGTTAGTTTGCTTATTACTTTAGTTCCATAACCTTCCCGTTCGTTCGAGAGAGTTCCAGTTTCTCAATTTAAAACTTGACCTCACAATTTGCTAATATGCTAGAAATCTAGGTGAATCTCCAATTTTATTTTCGCTGACGTGGGCCCAGCGGCTAGCATGTAGTGTAAAAATAGTACGGACTAGCCAGTTTTCGGACCGGCCATTTAAAAATAGTCAGCGTCTGCAAAATCATCGAAAAATAGTCACTATTTTGCTGCAACACGGAAAGTTCCAGCATAATATAGTGGAGATCAGTATAATATACTAGAGTTCCAGTATACTTATGTTGGAACTCCAGTATATTATACTGAAATTTCAGTATATTATACTGGAATTCCAAAATATTATTCTGGAGTATTTTCCGGATTTTGAACAATGTCTTCGTTACATGAAAAGTGGCCAAATTTTCATTACTTTTGAAACTGTGGCTATTTTTGAATGACCACTTATAAATCTAGCTATTTTTGAATTTCTTCCGCATGTAGTCAATACTTTGTAGATTCTTCAATCCCAGTCTAAAAGTTAAGTACTTGTCTCGGTGAGGTGTTTATATATAATTAAATGATTAATTTTAAGAATTAACGAATCAAAGTAAATATGCATATATGCAAGCATGGACGGATCTATACGGGAGGGTGGGTTCACGTGAACCTATGCTTCTCGTCCAAAACTATGTATAGTATTTTGTATTTTTCTAATTTACTTCTTAAATAAATCCATGCTCAAGTGAGCACTTTGGCTTAATGGTAAATAAGTGCACCTTGACCCCCAAGGTCAAGGTTTTAATCCATGCTTGCTTCCTTAGACTTTTTAATACATATTTCTATTTCTTTATTGGGATGAATTACAATGGAATAGAACCCCTCTATTTATACAGAAAAAGTGACTTAGCCATCAAGTAACAAACCCTAAAATCTCTCTAAAATATAGACATTCACCTTAAATACAATTATATTTATAACACTCCCCCTTGAACGTCTATTCAACCGATAATGTGCCTCGCTAAAACCTTAACTAAAATAAAACCCAGTGAAAATAAAATACAGATGCATCTTGCTTATAACAATAGCAAGATGCATCTGTGCACAAATTGCACGTAGGATGTGATACTCCAGGACTAAGAATTGTATATGGTTTAAGCAATTTAAATCCTTCAGGGATTATCATAAGTTAAATCATATAAGCCATATAAATGGACTTTAGATTTACATCAAGTTTTCATGTCATGCTAAACTTATAAGCTAGATAAAGGTGAGTGCACACACCCTTGACTTTATACTTTTAAGTGATTGAACTGTAGGTCCAAAACTACATGTCTTTCATATGAAATCAATTCTACTTGAATTATTTCTCCATACTTAAGATCCCCATCTATGCTTAACGCTATCATAGATGTAGTTGACTGATGGATATAATTTATTCATATATTTTCATATGTTAAATATTAAAGATTTAAAATAAGATATAAATAAATATATAATGTTCTCTCATACTTTCTAACATCCTTCGCAGGAGGAAGAGTATATGAAAATTGAAGAAAAGAAGCAAAAAAGTGGGAATTGAGTAGCCAACTGCGAATGAAGAAGCAAATGGACTATATCACCATAGTTGCGATGACGGCAATTGAAAATCATGAAACAAATACATAGTTGCAACTAGAGAACTATAGTTAAAAGTATAGTCGTTCAACTCAATTGGCAAAATCATAGTTGTACCTACAATTTTTATAGTTGCAACTATGGAGAACCTTAGGCAAAAAAAACTCTATAAATAGAGTGTGATTTTTGGATAGAAGACATTGAGTCTTGTTGGGAGAAACTACTCTTTGGTCTCTCTTTTTTCTTTAGTATTTTTTACTAGTTGTCTTTCTTTTAGAAGAATAATATTTCTTCGGAAGTTCTTTGTTTCTAAATTAGTTTATATTACTTCGTAATGGAGTAACGTATTTTGTTGGGTTAGTTGATGAAGCTTGATATATATATATATATATTTATAATACTATCTCAGTTTAATACATCCTTGGCTTGAAACGTTCTGTTTATACTTTGTACTGTGCTGTAATAATAGTTTTAATTAATGACTACTATCACTTCTACATATTTTATCTCTTAGTTATTCTTATATTGATTTTATAATTCTCACGAAGCAAAATTGATATATAATAACCAATGAATAAAATAATAGATTGAGAGTGTTTTTTAGTAAACTATTATTCCAAGTTCGTAATCTTGCTTGCCTCAGTTTTAATTCTCACAGAGAAATTGTTGTAGGCAAGATTATTGATTTTTTAGTAAAAATATTCTCACGAAGTTTTTACTACCTCTTAGCACAATTCAAGCAAGAAAAATATTTCAGTTTAATCGTCACTAGTTTTAACTCAATTAATCACATAACCTCACAGAGTGCTATTAATTGACTACTTCTTAGTGAGCTAAATATAATTGTATTAGCAATAAGCAATTATTCCTCAGAGAAATACATGTAAAAATGGAGATTTTATTGTAATATATTATCTAGTGAATTCAACGATTCCAACTCTTTTAAATTATAAATCAACCGAAAGTTCTTGGTTTTTGTTTAAGTAATTAACAAGCTTTCAACCTCACTCACTTTTAATCAAATTGATTCTCTCAAATAGTAGTAGAAATATTAAAAGTCTGTAGCATAGATGTTCCAATCTCTGTGGGACGATATCATAAACTATACTAGAATTTGACAAAGCACGAGCAGAAAAATCCTATACACATTGGGCTCGTCATTGACGAATAATTATATTGGTTCCAACCTCATTCTTTTTATAAAGACATAATATAGAGATCTCTTCATTCATATTTTCAGGTACCTGAACCTCTCCTGAGATTTTATGAAGTGTTATGTCATGTGATCTTCTAGATCACTTGCCTCCTTATTGTTAGTAAACTGTATTTGTAAAATAATTCTGGAGAAAATAAAATAACATTAACAGAAATATAAACGAAACACAAATTAATCCGAGCCGACTGAATTCATAGTATTTCCTTAAGGAATTTAATCCCCTCCTAGTACCCAAGGTTATGGATTATTTTCTCCCAGGATAGAACGAATTACACACTGGTGTAGTGGTACTTCAAACCCAAGTGTTTCAGCGAACACAAAGTTCGGTAGCAAATCACACTTACTGTTGCTTTCTTTGAAGTTAAAACAATGCAGAAGAAAGAGGAGAAACTCAGAAAATCGTATGGAAAATCTGAGAGAATGGACTTGTATTTATAGCCAATGTTGGGCTGAAATCTGAAGAGGTGCAACTCTTCAGAATGGTCGTTTATGCAAAACGGCCATAGCATAAATGCCATAACATAAATGGCTATTTACTCAACAATAAAGAAGGAAAATTGAAGAGGGTAGTTAATTTTCTGTTACAAAAACAGAAAACGGAAAAATGGAAACGGTTGGATTTTAATATTAATATTTTTGTTATTAAAACGGATATTTAATAATATTTCTGTTAATCCGAATCCGAATCCGAACCTAATCCTAATCCGAAGCCGAAGCCGAGCCGAGCGAGCGAGCGAGCGACGACGCGAGGCTTGCCTTCTTCTCAAATCTTTAAGAGCTAGAAGAAAAGCAATTTCTTATATACCCATTAAAAATCTCTTCCTCTTCCAATATGGGACAATGTCCCTTCATCAAGGAGGGAATCTCAAATGAAACTCAAATATTTCATTTTCCCTCCATTTCCCATTCACCCTCTTTTAAGTATTAATATACTTAAAAACCCAACTATCCCCCACATGAATGGGGAATGGCTATATTACGGAAATATGCATGAAAAACTATGTGATTCGCAAGCAAGGATTAATTGCATCTGGATAAGTAGGTTTCCCTTTGAACTTTTCGTAGTGAACTTATGTCGGATATACTCGATCAATCGGTAGATTTGATATCTTTGAACCGTCGAACTTTGGTGTATACCTAGACAACCATAAGTCACACAACCAACCCTTAACCGTCTTTGGTTCTCATTGTTGTGTTCGTTTCAGCCATGAAAACCGCCTGGTTTCATAAGTGCATAGAGAACTGGCCTTGCAAAATTCTACTTGAAGCGACTAACACTTCACACTTGCATAGGTGATTCCTAAACGTGTCATCCCGTAGATACACTATTTGATATACCCCGTATCAAATTTAAAAATCATTAAAAAGCCTTAATACTTTATCATTGGTACTGAACATTGTCTCATCACGAGAATGGACCAAAAGCTTAGTTGACAATGTTGAACCGTCATTAATGACTTTGTTTGATCTCCTTGAACCGAGATCTTGGGATCTCCAGTCTTCTAGGTAGAGTTATCACCACTATGACTTATTCTCGGTCATATTCCCATTCCCCTTGATGATTTCTCAACTACGTCTCTAGTTAGGCCTTTTGTAAGTGGATCCAACACATTATCACTTGACTTTACATAGTCAATCGTGATAATTCTTCTAGAGAGTAATTGCCTAACGGTTTTATGTCTTCGTCGTATATGACGAGATTTACCGTTATACATAACGCTCCCAGCCCTTATAATTGCCGCTTGACTATCACAATGTATGCATATTGGTGCCAACGATTTGGGCCAAAATGGAATGTCTTCCAAGAAATTCTGGAGCCATTCAGCTTCTTCACCGGCTTTATCTAAGGCTATGAATTCAGCCTCCATAGCGGGCAATACAAGTTTGTTTGGACGACTTCCAAGATACCGCTCCTCCACCAATAGTGAATATATATCCGCTTGTGGACTTAGAATCAGTTGAACCGGTGATCCTATTTGCATCATAGTTATCCCTCAATCACCGCAGGATATTACTGTAGTGCAAAGCAAAGCCCTGGGTATGTTCTAAATATCCCAAAACTCATTTCATTGCCATCCAATGAGA